CAGGGTAAGGAGAGGGATGGAAAAAGTCCCTTCATGTCAGCCGCCTCCTGGATTATGCCAGGCAGCTCCAGAGGAGGGCATTGACGGCTGGGAGCGGTGTGGTCGCCAATGCGAAAAAAGGTCCGGGGGGGTGAGCATTCGCTCAGCCCCCCTCGTTCCAACACTACGCTCTCCAGGAGGGAGTGAGCAGCGGGGGGCTGCTGCTGACGTTGTCTGTCCTGGAGGAACTATTCAATTCGCTCTGAGAGTCTGCGACAAAAGGAAAATTACAAGATGGCGTTGTCCAGCGTGTAGCAACCTGCCACTGAGAAATACTCCTCGGCACTTACCTTGAAACAAGACTGCTCGTCTGCTTCTCCTCGGGGAGGAGAACTCACTGGGATGGCAGGAGCGACGTGGCGGGGCCACAGGCAGTCTTAACAATGGTTGGTCAAGCTAGACAACTTTCCTTCTTCGTTCTTCTGACAGTGCTATTAGCTTGCTGAAGAAAAATGGGAGCTGATTACCCGCTCTTACCGTAATTTATACGGACCGGGTGGGGCCCACACAGCAGGTGGGCGTGAACTAAATTTTTCAGTGCAATGCTTCACATGATGGGATAAACCCACTAAGCGACAGCTCTTAAAGGGTGAAGCCTATACGAAATAGAACAAACATGTATATTGGCGATACAAAGAGAGACAGAAATAGGCATGCTCCAACCACTTACGTCATATATTGTATATGACACAGCGCCACCAGAGGTGAACCAGAGCACTACACTGCCTCACCCACATTGTTTGAACAGGCAATGTGTAAATTCTGCGATTTTGACAATTGAAGTGTTGAAATATTTCAGAAAACAGTTTTATAAAACATTTTTATAGAACAGTCAAGTGGTCAAATGTATTCTCTTTTATCACTGTCAGTATTTTTCTTGTCATGCTGACAGGAAAGGCACTGCCTCAATTGCCCCCCTGACTGCACATCACTGCACACACTGCTTTTCATAACCTCCTGGATCCATTAGAACAAGACTGAATTGTTGCAATCTGACAGCCATGACACTGCTATGCTCTTATTGCACCTGCACATAACCAACTCTGCATCACCAACGTGTTCTTATGACGATACCGCCATCTACAGCACGCCCTGGGGCCTGTCCTGACATGACTCATAGGTCATATTAAGATGTACATCGTTGCGAGCTAGAAGACTCCACCAGGCTAGCACCACACAGGTGGAAGCCCCGGCACGAGGCCAGGGGTCAGTCTTCCGTCACATCTGAAGGACCAAAGTCAACATCTCACCGGGCACCAGCTGGTGGAGGGTAAATGGTGAATGGCTATCTCAAGAGTCTCTGAAATGTGTGGGTCTTCTTCATTTACTCACGACTCACAGAGAAATCTTGTTGCTTGAATATCAAACGTAAAAGAATTAGCAGTAAACCTTTCTCTGAAAACAGTTGTCACAGAATTGTCTCAGGAAATATAAAATGGAAACTTTGGTCGCTGGTGAGCTCAGTCTTCACCTCCCGGCTAACTGGCAGGAAGGTGAAATTTTCACAGGCCCATTGGACCTGTGAAAATGCATGAAGACCCTCAGCAACATACACGTCTCTGTACCCAAAGTTGTTTTTTCAGCTGCAGGATGTTTCATTTCAGCATGACTGTGTGGACACCTTAATGTTTCAACAACAACATGAAGCAAACAATCCTGAACCATGAAGCAGCAACTGAAATAGACGCTTGTTGTTGTGAGGAATTGCCTGATGTTTGGAGTGGTGCATGCTGGGCAGATGGGGTGCACGCACAAAATCTGTGAGTGAATCAGCTATGAGCCGTTATTGACTTGATTTGAGTCACTGATGAAAACTTGTGGCTTTGCTCCTCCACTTTTACATAAAACAACATTATTACTCAAAGTATGTTGTCTTTATCCATTGTAATTACAAACCAGAGACATAACATTAAAAATGATCACCAGCTGGTCGGACAACCTTCAGCTGTGGAGAAATAAACAGCTGAAAGTGTGCTGCATGTCTGAATGTGAATCAGTCCACACGATTGGATTAAATTAAGTGTCCAGACTAACACTGCCTTCAGTTTAACGGGGGCTGACTTCACTGGAGGCCTCAGGACACAATCAGATTTGATCAGAGATCAGTGACATGCTCCTGATTTCATCTCACCCATTTATCACCTCATCATGGAGACCTAACCAATGCCCTTTTTCCATTAGTAACGGTACAGCCCGACTGGACCGACTCAGCCCAGTTCCGAGGCTTTTCCATTAGTAACGGTATGTAGAACCTGTCCCTATTTTCAGGACCCTTGGCTCTGTGGTTCTAACCCGACCAAGTAGGTACAAAAACGAGACGTCAGAACACTGTCAGTCACTGATTGGTCGGGGCGGAGAAACTTTTCAAAACATTGACCCGCCATTCGCAATTTCTCAGACCAGACCAGTAGCTGGACCTATTTTAAAGATTTTAAAAACAATAATGACAACATCTAAAAAGTTAAATCTGGTCCTTTGAACATTCAAAAAACAAAACAAAGCAAAACAACAACAAAAAAATGTAGAAACTTTTCGTCTTTCATCCGAAAGACTTCTTCAGACTGAGGTCGGCGTTGGGCCTTCATGATTACGCGAGACCGGGGTCTGGCAACGGCCTTCTGCGAGTCACCAGCTGAGCTCGGAGCTGGGAAAATGACACAGGGTTTTAGATTTAGTTTTGGTTCCGAGGCTCCAGGGGAAGAGGACCCGGGTGAGACCAGCTCGTCATAAAACAAATGTATTTTTTTTTACATTGAAGAATAAAAAAAAACAATAAAATAAACAGTGCCGGCTTAAACACAAAATCCCGTTTTCACTTTAATGACTGTTAACTCAGCTGAAAATCATAAAAAGACACAAAATTATTGGATCTCTCAGGAATTTTTCCCTCAAACATGTTTAAAGAAAAGAGACAACCTTCAGTTCAACTTTATTCTAACCCACAAATGTACAACTCACAAAACAAGAACTTTAAAGCAAAGCTAAAAATAAAAAAAATATATATGTGAACAAGAAACAAAACTACACATCTAAACTGAACAATAAAAGTAGACACAATGAGTGCAAATATAATGAAGAAAACCTATAAAAATTTAAATATAGATGTTTTTGTAGAATCTGGTTCATCAGGGTTTTAATGGTGAACTAAAGTTCATTAGCAGGATTTATACATGTGTGTGTAT